ACGGTCTATTCATAGTTCATGCAAAAGCTTTGCATTCAAAGAAAGCATGATCACAAAATTAATGCTTCAAGAGCTAAATCCATTTCATAGAACAAGTTAAAACAGAATAATAGAACGGCAGTCATGAATAGAGCCAGGAAAAATGGCCGAGCTCATCGGACTGAGCCCGTTTAAGCCCTTTTAAATCAAAGGCCGAACTTGTATTTTGGAGCCTTGAAAGAGAAGTTGGGCTTAAAAGGGTCAGCCTTGTAAGGCCAAAAAATTAACATGCTAGCCCTGTAGGGCTGCGGACTAGCCCATTTAAGCTTGCCAACAATTTTTTTAAAAATTTTTTATATTTTTTCTTAACTTAAAAAAGAAAATCCAAACATTTTACACATAGCACACTTTTAGTTTCACTTACCCCAGCAACTTATATAGACAACATTCATTAAAAAAGGAAAAAAGAATCATTATAGTTGTTGGAAAATGATTTATTTTTTTTAATTTTTCAAAATACAATCCACACAAGTTTATGATGGGAACTCAAGCGTACTATATTTGACATGAATATATAATGTCTCTTTCAAACTAATAAATAACATAACAACCGATAGTAACTATGTTTAGTTTGACTATTGGGAAGTCTTACATATTTTTTATGCTTGAAATAAAATTAATTAAAAAATCTTTTGAATTAAAATAAAGATCTATATCATTTTTTATAGTTAGAAACGAATTTTAGAATTATAGATGATGGATTCCTTTCTTTTTTGTTGGTAGAATGAATGATTATTTTTTATGTATACTATGTTTGTTAGTTAAACTTTTTTATTGATTATTTATAATTAAACTAGATCATCCGCATTATAATTATTTACTAAACTTAATACTTATTTATTTGTTTATATCTGTTTTTTATTTAGTTTATTTATTCAGTAGACTCTATTACATTGTGATAGATATTTAGACATGATGATATTTATGTTTCTGGTTTAATTTTATTTATATTTATACATTTTGTTAGTAATTTTATTGTTTTATTTTTATTATTTTAATAAAATATGCAAAAAAATAAAAAAAAATATTTTAGTTAAACGGGCCAAAAGCCCGCAGGCCAGCCCGAGCCCGTCATCTCACTGGCCGAGCTTGAAAAAAAACAAGAATTTTCAAAACTTAGACTCAAACGGGCCAGCCCGTTTAAACCCGAGCCTTTAACTGGGCGGGCCAGCCTGTTTTCCCACTTCCCCATGAAGCTGCTAGGCACACATCTGAGTAGTTTTGACGATGGAGCTTTTGGGGTCAGCCCAAGCCTATTCTTAACGTGTTCATAAGCCGCGTTGCTGTCTGACACTTTGCAAAGCTTATTTATTCTTGTGGAGGAATTCTTGTGTACTCTCAATATAACGTATCACCTCACATGAACTCTACATAACTAAACAGCAACACCTCAGCACATTTTAATAGTTTTTTTTTTAATAGTAAGTAGAAGATTTGTTGAGGCCAGCATCCAATGGCATCAAAAGTAAAGGTGATTTTAGTGGAATTATGAAAACCAATAAAGGAGATTCTCTTCGAGTCCCAAACATGAATCAATATAGACATGGAAGTTATGAAAATCTTGTTTGATGATAATCAAAGTTAAGTTGATACTTGTGATCTGATCAGCTGTTACAAATTTTAACTTGGGACTTAAAAAATACAGTGTATTTTGAAGTCTCAGTTTGAGGGCTTTAACAGGCTAAACAATGTACATAGGGACTCTAGGATTAGAAAAATTTTAATACTCCTCCGGTCCTTAATATAGCACCTAATTCTTGAGTTGGTTTTGGTCTTAAATATAAGATCCATTTCTCATATTTATTAATTTTCTCTAAATTACTCCTATGGATACTCTCTCAACCATAATCAAATAGAAGAAGGAGAGGGGGTATTAAAAAAGATGATTATGATGTTTTAGGAAAAATGTGTCACTTTTCTTATAATTAACTAACTTTCTTAACCTAATTAAATTAGTTAAATAGGTCTTATATTAAAGACCAGAGGAGTACTACCTAACTTCCTTAATACTAGTAAGTAATTTTAATAATACGAACTACTCAATTTCCTAATATATTGAATTGTGAAACTATTTTATATTTTATTTGACATTTGCATATTATTAATGATCTCAAACAGTGAATTTCCTAATTATCATTATGATAATCAACATATTTTATGTTTTATATTAAATACCTAATTCAATCTTAACTCCATGGGGTATGCGGATTTCGGGAGGAAACAACCAGTGTGCGTCCGATGTTTGTATATGGTGGAATAGGGTTATGGGGGCTAAGATAGTTACTCAATTATCACAGTCATCTAAATAGTTACTCCTCCTTTTCTTTTTCCACATGGATAACTAAGATGATAGGGCTATCACTCTCATAAGATTATATTGGAAGTCTTATTTGATTATTGTTTATGACGGTGGCCACGGGGCTCCATTTTTACATTGAATATGGATATTTTGATATTGTTTTGGTGGTTTTATATTATTTTAAGTTTATATTGTCAATTCCTAAAGTTATTGACCATGGCAACTACTTTCAACTTATAGGAGTATATTTTTGTGTGGTTTTCAAAATATTTTAACTCACTAACCATTTTGTCTCCATTAATTTTTCTTATATCAAATAACCTACTTTTATGATATAGAATCAGATGTTATATTTGTCCAATATAATATTATTGACTATGACATTATCTGTGTAATTATTAAATATAATCAAATATTTGAGTTTCAATCCATTAACCCTTTTATCTCCATTAATTCAATCTTTTTAAAGGAACATCAATTTATATACCTACATATATAGCATATTTCTCAAAATGTTGATAATGGATCTACCTGTACTGCAGATTGCAAAAGCTTAATGATATTTTATTTTAAATTAAGTTGAAATCATGACTTGAAATAGTAATATAATATTCAACTAACTATTTTGTGATAATTCAATTTTTTATCTTATATAAAAGAAACCACCCATTCATACCGGTGAATTGCATGGGCACTATACTAGGTCTTAAAATGGCATTTGTAGGAGGGTCACATTCACACGATATGCAACACTAAATTCTTACTGAAAGAAATTCTTCCTTGTTTTAATCGGTACTTTGTCTTGTTTTTATTATAAGATTTAAATAATTAATTTTTATACAACTAAAAATTAGTTAAAATTAGTTAAAAGTAATATATAGCTAAGAAATCCATTTTTTTCTTTATAATAAACGATTAAAAAAGATAAAAGAGAATATATAGGAAAATAGAGAAAGATACAAAAGGAGGAGAATAGATCAATTAAAATCCAAATGAAAAAAAAAATGCGGTAAATGGAGACAAAGCTTTGCCTTCCTTCTTGAGACACCCAAATTCAATTCGTTTCTCCTATTTCAAACACTGACACTTACACTATGTTTGGTACGGGATTTGTGAAGGGGAGGGGAGAAAAGTTGCTCTCCTCCCCTTATTTTGTTGGTGCAATTTTTTAGGAAGGAAGAGGAGTTGCTTCTCTATCTTTGTTTGGTTAAGATATTTTTAAAAAAGGGAGGGGCTCTCTTTCCCTCTTTTTTCTTTGTAGCCTCCTCTTTAAAAATGGGGTTCTTTTTGAAAGGGAGATGAGAAACAGAATTTTAAATCTCAAGATTAACCTAACTAAAATACAGAAACAATTAAAAGAGGATAAAAAGAGGGCACACCTAATGAGCAAAACAGAGATGCGGAGGAACAGAGGAGCACACACAGAGCAATGCCAGCTTCAAACGAATCATCAAGAAGCAGCAAGGAAAGAAGAAACAAGAGGCGAACTGCTCACCCCACACCACTAAGGTCACAGACAGCAACAGCAGGACGAGGAAAATGACGATGATTTCTCAAGAATAGCAAGCAAAGAAGAGGCCGACGGCGGTGAATAAGAGGAATGGAGGTTGATAGGAAGTGCGACTGAGACCCCTTTTCTGATTCTCCATAGGTTGCTTCCCTCTTTTTCTCCTCTCCCTTGAACGTAACAAGCTGAGAAAAATATCATGAAAGCATATATATACAAGCACAAAAGGACAATATGGTGACTGCAAAGTGCGTGTGTGTAAAGTTTCTCTCATACATCGATAGGATTCACAGCAAACCAGAAAAAATGTTTGTCCTAGACTGCCAATCGACCTTATTAAAAATTTACAACACATAATCAAAATATTAAATAATTAATACTTCTGATTTTTAATATGAGAGCTAAATAACTAATTTGAAGAGAATAAGAAAATTAATTAAGTTGGTTAATCGTAACCAATATGTGTTGACTTTCCTGAATTACTCTTTTTAATCATGTGTACTAGAACTATTTTTTGATGGAAACAATGTCTTATGACCAATAAGGATCTTTTATGGGGGAAAAATAATAAATTTGAAAGACAAAGTGAACTACGGTATTACATTTAGGATCAAATTTAATCTCTAACTAACTCTTATATTAAGAATGGAAGGTGATATTTTACATTACAGGATTTTTGCCATCTTTGAACATTTCTACACAACACAGGCCATTCGCACTTGCTTACAACAAAACAAGAACGGTGAATATGCATAATACATAGTTGACCTCCGGCCATTGGATCGTATATATATTGGTACTTCCTCCTAAATCCTTTTCTATAGTCCTTAATACATACAAATGACGTAAAAGCCTTCTTCATAGATTATATTAAATTAATGTATCCAGGACAATTTTAAAAATCCATCAAGCATGCATTAATATAAAATATAATTTTTAATCTAAAACCAGAACGATTGATCTACGTACCTTGGAAGTATGGACTCATCTTCTTCAACAACGAACTGACCTTGATGTCTGGAGCATTGAGTATAACCTCCACCTTTCGCAACTTCAGTTCTTGTAACATCAGCAGCCTGCAATATTTTCATCATTGTCTTAGGGCCCAGGATTTACAGACCCATTGCTCCATTAAGTGCTCTTTTAGCAAGCGAATCAGCGATGCCATTCCCATCTGAAAGACTTGGATATCCACAAACCAATCCCCTCTAGCATCCCTTTGATTTCCATGATGAGAGCAATATCCTTGTGCATCTCAGGGACTTCAAATTTGATCAATCGAACAGCCTCAGCGGAGTCGCTTCTCAAGATAACATCTCCAGTACCAGCGTCCCAAGCGCCTTTGAGACCCATCAAGCAACCCCATAGTTTTCCTGTGAGGGTATCTCCGCCACTTAATTTCAGAAAAAAAGCCTCCTTCATACAATTGTTGCCATCTTTAAGAACGCCTCCACAAGCTGCGTTGTCATCTAAATGAGAATAGGCGCCATCTACTTCTACAATAACATCATCAGGGACTATAACCTCCATTGTTGATGTCTGGATCAATCTTCATGTAGTTATTGATGATACTACAACCTTCGTCCCTTGTTCTTCGCCATACTTCAACATCTTCTTTACATACCGCTCGCCACCCACACTACCTTATTTTCATCCTTGGTGACTTATTTTTTATTTCATTCTGAAAGCAAAATACCATTTGGAATCCGCTTGTAACCAAAGAGGAACAATGAATATGCAACATAAAAAGCTGAGGACTCCCAGCCGTATATAAATAAGCTTGACGAATATAATGCCAAGTTGAAAATTCATCATTAGCAAATCTGCAACCCCAACAAAGCACATCCGGCCCTTCTCTAATTGCGAGATCCTATTCTATGGCTAAACATATGGCTATGCCCCACGATTCACGTGAACCATAATAATCAGGGGATATATTTATTATGAACGACACATTTGGACAGCACCTGAATTCTTTCTCACAAAAGTAGTTTTGATTATAAAACCATGATGGTACTTTGCTACCTGGAATTGCCAATATGCGAGAATGTGGACGGAGGGGAACAAGCTGGGAAAAAAAACAAAGAAAAAGAAAAAACAGATTGTTTGTATCAGAAGTATGTTGATTAACACGTAAGAAATGGAAATATATATGTACAAGTCAAATAAACTATATATTTATTGTCAAAGAAATTAAGAGAAAAACAAGTAATTCTAAGAACTCGCAAGTTCTGAATCCCCTCTTATAATTGCTGAGTTCATATTCAAATGGTTGTGAACCTGTAAGAAACAATTTTCCATGTTAAAGAAGTAAAATGATTGAGGTGAAAGAACAATTAAAGACAAATAAAATAAACCTGAGGTTGAAATGATTCAATGAAATCCCATAATTGATCTCCACATCCGTAATGTTTCATTAATGAAGAACCTTCAACCGCTATGACTAATAGATTTGACGGAAGTTGCGGCAAAGATCGAAGCCTTGGGCAATCAAGGAGACCAATACCTTCGTGCTTCGAAAGATTGGAAATGAGGTCAGATGGTAAGTCAATGAAATTGTTTCTACTTAGATCTAAAAATTCCAACGATGATAACATGCTGATATCATCGGGAAGTGATGCATCAAGGAGACTGCAGTTTGTTAAAAGTAAATGTTTCAATGATGACAAAGACGGCAACATCATAAAATTTGTTGACCTTGAAGGCCTTTGGAGAAGGGATAAACAACTCCATGATGATGAAGATTGCCCTTCACTATTGTAGTCACTAAATGATAACCCTTTTATAGCAATTCCACTCAAATGAAGCTCTTCCAAAGCTTCATTTTCATTCAAATTCTTTGGCAGCCTTGAAACCTTTGAGCAGTGAGAAATTTTGATAATTTTTCAGAGCTTTCAACTTACAAACACTACATGGAAGACAGACCAGTTCCTTGCACTTTGTCAAATTTAATTCAACGAGACCAATCAAATTACCTAGTGATTGAGGTAGTTTCATTATAGCAGTCTTCTCTAAATCAAGCTTAGATAGATGCGTCATCCAAACTCAGGAAGTTTTCTAACTTTTGAACAACCCGATAGAATAACAGTCTCCAAGCCATTGATCTCAAATTTTTTTGGAAGGGTTTTAACTTTTTTGCAATCTTTCAAGTCAACAGTGACAAGATACTTATGTTTCCCAAGAGACTGATGAATTTCAACTAAGTTAGAACACCCTTCAAGAACCAATTTTTCAAGATGAGGAATTCTATCAAAATTTGAGGTTTCGATGAGGTATTCTGAATGAGATAAATCAAGGGACTTCAAGCATGGGAGAGACTAACAATAGAAAAAGAGGAAACAATAAGCCCTCAAAACCAAACACTAATTATAATTATAATTTATCAAATTATGGATAAAGAATTTAAATGAAAAGATTGTAATTACCTGTGTTCCTCTCCAAAGTTTTTTTAATTTGCTATGTTGCATTTTTAGTACCACAAGTTCATAGAGTTGATGCTGACTGGGCAAATAAAACAAAGGATACCTCACCCATTCTATGACTTTCAAGTCACTGGAAAGGGACTTGAGCCCGTGCAGAAGATTTAATTGATAATGTGAAACATGTGAATGACTGGAAATGATAAGTAACCTAAGATTACTCATCTTTGAGAAGGATTTAGGATCCCAAAATGCATCACATGACTTTTCCAATGTTAGCGCTATTCCTCGGATTGCTTCTGTCCCCTGTAAAACAACAAGCCACGGTCAAAATGTATTTTAAAGTTATGGAATATATTGATATTAAAAAGCACATAAACACAAGAACGTTGGAATAATGTCACCTTATTTCCTTTTAGTACGTGATTGGCATCCTCCAAAGACAATATCCGGGAACGCTTGCCGGCATCATAAGGTGATTCTTGATAGACAATATATTTACACATATCTCGGAGAATTTCATGCACCCACCAATGCCCTTCATAACTAATTATTAGTGATTTCTTTATGAGAACATTTATCACAGTTCCTGGGTAAAGATCCTTATCCAAAATTTCTAAAATTCGTATGACATGATCTTTGTCCATCCCATTGAAAAAGCAAGCAATATCCAAGAATATGGTTTTCTGCTGATCGTCCAGTCCATCAAAACTCACTTGAAGTATCTTCAAAATGTCCTTTAGAGGAATTTGCTTGACCTTAGCTAGTTCATCCTTCCATTCCACTATTGGTCTTTTGCAAAGAGATGAACCTAACACTGTGAACACTAAAGGAAGGCCTCCAGCAAACTTAATGACGGTTCTAGCAAGTTTCAAATAATCTTCATTAGGATGCTCTTCTTTAAAAGCTTTTTCAAGGAAAAGATCAACAGACTCTTTATCACTCAATAATTTGAATTCATACACAGCAGATATACTGTGTGATGATTACAAATGCTTATCCCTAGTTGTTATTATTATTATGCTCCCTTCGCTGAACCACCCTTTCTTTGGCGCCAAATTTTCAAGTTGCCTAATATCACTCACATCGTCAAGGACAAGTAGAATTTTTCTGTCAGTCAACTTGCTTTTTATTAACTCCATTCCTTCATAAAAGTCAGCTACTTCCATACTCTTTTTATCTAGAGAAGAAAGAAGTTTTCTTCGCAATGAAATCAAGCCTTCTTTTTCCCATGCCTCTCTAGTATTATCAAGGAAGCAGTGAATCTCAAAGTTTTTGTGCTCTCGCTCCCGCTCATAAAAGGCTCTAGCAAGAATTGTTTTGCCTACACCTCCTGTGCCCCATATTCCTATAAACCCAACTCCTTATGATTCCCTTGCTACAATTGACTTCAATTTGTCTAATTTTGGCCCAATTCCAATTAACTTGCCATGACCAGATGCTGATTTATCAAGTAACTTTGACCCCATTTCTTCAGCAATGCTTTCAATGAATTCGCTTTCATACCTGCATAAGAAAATAAAATTATAAAATGATTTTTTTAACATGAAAATAGCGTGATGGTTTTAAGTCAATTGAATTTTAAAGTTCTTGCATAAACAATAAAAACATGACTACAAATGTAGCAATCTTAAGTTTTCCGTGAACCTTAGTTTGACTTAGTGGGGATAGGAGATAATTATTTGCAGATATACACGATTATGCGTGTGTGTCCACGCACTTTGACTCCTAGATATTGAAGTTACTTAATTAATACATTATAGGTTGAGTTTCTTTTTTTTTTTTTGGCATTACATTTTATTATTTGAATAGTTTTTCTGAATTTTATTCAAGCAACATTTCACAAGAGTTAAAATCTAATGCTGTACGGTAACGTCTTCAACTATCAAAAAATAATAACAACTATTAATTATTTGTTAATAAACAATGAAATTTCAAACTTTAGAGAAATTATAAATTATTAATATTAATTTTTTAATTGTTGAATTACATAATAATAATTATTATTATCTAATTTTACTAATATATATTCAAGAAAATGACCATTTCAGTGGTGACATGGCATTGAAAAGGCTGCATGGACTTGTTTTCTCTTCTTCCTAGTAAAAGCTTGAGGCTCTCTCTCTCTCTCTCTCTCTCATCCCTCAAGGGCCAACCACACCAGTCTCCCGTCGACAAGGATAAGAAAGGCCTAACTTGTATTCACCTCTCCATTAGCATCAACGCACTGCTTCTATGCCGTTGGGGATATATATGTAAACAAATTCATACACGTCAATGATATTAAAGGCATTTTAACCGCGTAGATACGAAGCCGAGCAGTAGAACGTCAAATATGGAGATGTTTTCAACTTTTTCAATGAGCTGGCTTCCAGTGTGTGAATGTAGTTTAAGAAGGAGCTTTTCTTCTCCTTATCGACTGGTGTGGTTGGCCCTTGATTAACGAGAGAGAGAGAGCCACAAGCTTTCACGTGGAACGAAGAGAAAGAAAAGCTCATTATTGGCATTGGAAAGAAAGAGAAAGCAAGCCTTTTTAATGTCATGTCACGCTACACTAATAGCGGTGAGAGTATTTTTGACTGCTCATTTAATATAATAAATTATAAAGATTTCAAAAAAAAGAAAAAAAAAAAGTAGGACCTAACTCCAAATCAGATAAAACTATAAGAACCATCACATTAGTCTCCCCGATTACTAATCACCTCTTCTGTTTTATCTTAATTAAAAAAATATCACATATTTTTTAAACAATACTTAAGCCTCCATTCAAATTGCAATGTATCTTGCATAAATCTCTCTTCTATATTTGAGATTTTGTTTCATCTATTAATAGTTAGTTGATGGTTAAGTTTAACTTTTAAGCATTTGTTGAGACTAAAATATTTTTATTTAGCATAAAAATTATTTAAATATTTATATTTGTCAAAAGCATAATTTTTTATAATGGGAAATAATTCCACTGCATATGTTTTCAAACATTCTAATATGTCATCAGATTAGTTAATTATTAATTTTGATTATATAATGAAATTGTATAATTTTTTTTATTACATGTATTGATATATATTTATTTAGATTTTTTTTAAAATGTCTAAGATCATATTTCAAAAG